GCTGATGGTTGTGCACACTCCCCTCCCTGAACAGCATCTCATGCATGGGTCTTAGATGTCCATTTGCTAGCAGCAGACTGACAGGATGGTGGTGAAACTCCAGATAATCCACCCATACAACCTCATCCTGAAACCTCCCCAGCAAGCTCCAAGATCTCCTCCCCAAAACAGGATGAGAGCCTGATGTCTAGCATTCCTCCATTGGTATGTGACCACTCCCTCCTGTTATAAGACTATCGCTCCAGCAGACATACGGGATGATTGAGTGTCACCCCAATGGATTGGTGACCTTTTTACCAGTTTGCATGCTTAAGCCAGCTCTTGAGTCTTCTCCAGTCAGGGATTGGCAAAACAGCACTGTCCTGTAACTGGAACAACATTTGCAGCATGAGGTTTCTACCACCCATTCAGTGCACATACTCAGTCTCCCTCTGCACTGCATACTTATACTGTACAGTGCACATCAGAGTGTTACTCTGCAGTGACCAGACTTGCAGAGTGTAGCAGATCATTAATCGCATTGTATCCACTCAAGTCACTTTCTGGAATGGCCCTAAAGGTTTTAGCCCTCATTGGTACACCTCGATCTGGGCCATCAAAAGCAGCTGAGAGGGTCTCTTGCTGCCATCCCTGGGAAATGGATCTAAAGTAGGTGATCTAAACTAGTCTGGGAGACCACCTTACTAACATTACTGCGAAGCTTTTGTACCTGGTGATCTCAGATACAGCTCTCATTTGAAAGGAATCACCTTGAGTCAGAAACCTTTTCCATAAATCCACTACTCTCAGGAGTCAGAAGATCTGCCTTGCATCCAACCTACTCAAACACAGCTTGTGAACTCCCATTTCCTAGCCCTTTGGCTGGATAGCCGAGAGGAGAATTTGCAGTGAGGTGTCACTGAAGTGATAGGGTGTCATTCAATGACAGTAAGGTCATTCCTTCTCCACCTTGGAAGTTCATCGATTCTGCAGATAGCTGTTGAAGTTATTCAGATGGGGGTGGTATCAAGGGCCAGAAGATTACATCATGGGTACCTACTCTGAGAGCCAGAGTTATGATGTTGGCTTGCAGGGAATGAATAATCTGTCAGGGTGTCCTTTAAGTGCATAGTCCATATTTTTAACCAACTGATGGGTCAGTAGGGACGTTGATGATTTCTTGCCCGTCCTCACCACATGATTCACCATGCTCCTCACACGTGCATAAGTAATGAGCTGATGCTGTGTAATTGTGTGAGAAAAGCCAATGTTCACTCACCACTGCTTCTGCTGCACATTCACACCAGCAATGGAGGTTCCACGCTAAAGGACCTAAGCAACTGAAGGCATAGCCACCAATGGTGGAGTGATTAAAAAGAGGAACGCACAAGAGACCAAAATTAGAGGGATGCAGATAGCTCAGAGCATGATGGGGTTTGGAGCATGATGGACTTGAGGCCAAAAATGAAGGAGAAAAATTGCTGAGCTACAGAGAAAGGGTGGAATAGTGGGACTAGCTAAATCATTCTTTCAGAGAGCCAGTATGGATAGCTGAGTTAAATAACCTTCTTTTGTAGTATAATCAGTCTCTAATTCAATAGGCAATCTAACCTAGTCTGGGGGACCACCATATTAACATAACATCCAAGCCGTTGTACCTGGTGATTTCAGATTCAGTTTTCATTTGAAAAGAATCATTTTGAGTCGGCAACCTTTTCTATGAACCTCAGGAAACAAACGATCTGCCTCACATCCAACCTATCCAAACACAGCTTGTGAACTCCTAATTCCTTGCCCCTTCGCAACCTATTGAATTAAAACAATTGACAGTTCTAACAATAATTAGCAAACAAATCTGAACATTTCATTAATTTATAAAACTCTTGTCATGTCTCTCTTCAGTCAATTCCTAACATCTTGCTCATTGAGCCTGTCTTGATAGCTAAAATGTTTTAAACTGAAAACTTATATTGATCCTCAAAGGCGCTCAATGTCATTTTGGTATAAGGTTACATCAGGTTATGATGTATTTTACTTCATGATGGAAAAGTGAACATTCTCTGATTAGTGTGCATATTATTTGCTAGGTTTGAAAACAAGGCTGTGAATAAAAATTGTTTTTTTCCAAATTTTGAAAATGTGGATATTTGGGAAAAAAAGATGTGAAAACAAGACAAGGCCAGAAACAGCTACTTTACTTCGTTTTGTTCATTATAGCAATGCATTTTGACACTGTTAAGTAGACTAAACTTAAAGTGAAATCAGAATGGGTTCATGACCAAATTGGATGCTATATTGAGAACTAGTATTGTGAACTGACATATGTAATGTCTAATTTGCAGGGATACATAATCGAATCTCATAAATTGAGGGTAATTATTGATCTGGTTAGGAAATTGGCTGAATGACAGGAAGTGCGCAAGAGGACTAATAAGATTGACAACCGGTGACTAAGGCTATCCTGAAAGATCTATGTTCAGGCCTCAACTGTTCAATTTTATTTTCAATGGCTTAAATGATGGGATAGAAAGTCACATATCCACATTTGCAGATGGTGCTGAAAAATGCAACTTTGTAAGCAAAGTAGATGGAAGCATAAAATTACAAAGAGATATTAATTGACAAAATGAATGAACAAATCTGGAACAAATGGATTCCAGTGTGTGCAGGTGTTATGTCATCCTTTGTGTATATGAGGAGGATAAAACAGGTTACTTTCTAAATTGTGGGAAGCTAGGAACAATGGAGCTTCAGAGAGAGTTAGTGGTCTAGGTAAGCAGAACATAAAAATGCCATGAATAGGTACAGAAAATAAGCAGAAGAGGTGAATGCACGTGGTCCTTTACATTTCAAAGGCTAGAATACAATAGAGTAGAAGACAGGTTCCAGCTGTTTTAAACTCTGTTTAAAATCCAGGCCGGAAAACACACCGACGCTTCATCAGGAGCTGCACTGAGGATGTTACCAACCACGGTAATGAAACGTCTGCGGAACAACAAACCAGCTCGGCGAGCCAACCAACCTCAATATATGGGCCTTGGACGGAGTGTAGCATATGCGTTCCAGAATCACACTTGGACTCCAAGGTTTCAGTTACAAAGTCCAGTTGCACAAATTGGTGTTTTCAATTCCCAGGAATTTAGAAGGTCAAAGGATGCTTTGTTTGCAGTTTACAAGATATTAAGGGGAACCGATAGGTTGAATTGGTTTTGTATTTTTTATTCAGAAAATGACACCAGCCATGTTGTCGTATTTACCACTTGTACCAGAATGTGGTACTTGGCAAGGGTTATTTGAGCAAGTTTGCTGCTCCTATCTTCCTTTGCCTTTGCTCTGTCTTGGGCAAATCTCATGATTAGTAGTAGAAGATACACCACTATAGCGTATCTACAGAAGAATTTCAGTTCTTCGATAATAGGAAGATTTATTGTATGACAGCAAGAAGTACATCTACATTGGGTCAGGCATAATTACTGGTACCTTAAGGAGTTAGTTCAGGAACATTGCTCCTTCTGAAAGCTGCAGTAGAATTCGTCGTCTCCACTCTCAGACAGTGTGAGACGTCAGTAAAATGTGGGGACTCCATGTAACATGAGCATTAGCCCCTTTAGCACCTTTCACACTATACAACAGACTTTTGCTTGTTTGGGAATCACGGATCAGGGAACATTGTATCAAAATTAGAGCCAGACCTTTCAGGACAGAAATTAGGAAATAGTTGTGAACACAAAGAATGCTAGAAGTTTTGAACTCACTCCCACCAGCAAACGGTGTCTGATCACTTGAAATTGATTTTGTTTCTGTTAACCACAACTATTAAGGTAATGAGGAAATTAGTGGGTATAGAGAAATAGGGTCAAAATCAACCATGCTATTACTGAGAGGTAGAAAGGGTTGAATAGGTTAATGGTCTGCTTCTGATGCTGTAATCATCTATTTATTCCATTTGATTTGTAAATTCACCTTCTTACAATGAGTTTATTTTTAATACAATTTGACTTTGTGCTTTGATAGCTACCTCAAAAAAAAGTCTGCAGTATTTACGACATTTTCTTTCCCGTAAGTTTTCTAGTTAAGTAGTTTTGGTTCATGAATTGTCTTTATGCAGCAATTGCTATGCAATAGTTAAATGCACTGATTCAAACTTTAGCTTCTCTGTTAATTCTCTACAAATACTTTCTATTCAGGCAGACAACAGAAGTTAGGAGTTTCATGGGGGTTCTCAATAATCTTTGCACCTTTTTGTATGGGTTCTGAGGAAGAATCATATTGAAGTCGAAATGTTAAGTCTATTTCTCTCTTTCTACTTGTGTAGAGGTATATTAGAACAATGTAGCCAGCCATGGACAGAGACGTCAGAGTGGAAACAACATGCAGAATTACATTTAACTTAAAATAAAACTATGTGGCTGTAAGAACAATTGTTTTCAAAATTTCTGAATGGTTTTTAATTTTTCCTCAGCATTTCAACACTTGCTATACTTATTATATTGCTTTAGTGAAAACAGAGTGAATGGGAATGGGGATGATGGTGGCAGGAAGGTGCGGATGGCATGTTTAATGACTCAAGCTACCCACCTCAGTATTGAAAACCCAGCCCTCAGCCTGAAAGCACGTCAAATCAACCTGTCAAAGACAAGGAGATTATTATAACCCCATGTGATATTACAATAAGACAAAATACCATTACAAGATATTGGTTCAAGAAGGCACTCTCCAGATCCTAGGAGGCAGGAGTTCTGTTTACGGAGACAGTCATTGATGCTGGGATTTCACATGGTATCATTTTCATAAATTCTGTATAACTTTGTTTTATATAAAAATTTCTATAGGAAGAATGAACTATATAATTAGTTGAATATAATTTCACATTTGTTACTATGACAATGACAACCTGCATTTTTAATGCAAAAAATCTATACTCTACACTTTTGACTACCAATGCCAATAAGGCTTTTGGAGCCAATAGTGAATGCATGATATTTTGTGAGTGATATTGTTATATGTTATGGATTTGATAGGGACGAGATGGGAGTCTTCATGTCTAAATCATTGGATGAAAGCCTAAAGAAACAGCAAGAATTCATGGCAGCAAACAGTGCTCTTCAGGTATGACTATAATTCTGAGAAAAAAGATGATACAGAGTTCCACGTCATGTGTTTGTTGTCTGTTTTAGATGGTAATATGAGATGATTTGGCTTAACTAACACTAGCATATTGATGAAATGATGTATTTCAGAACAGATTTTGCTGAAAAAAAGACTTGATAATATCAAGTTGTGTTATTTACCAAAAAGCCCATTGGTAATGTAACACCATGATACCTGCATTGACACATGTTATTTGCTGGCAAAAGTCGCGTATGTCTTGTTAATTGATGGATTTCCTATTTGGAGGGTTATTAACACTGCTGATAAGTATATTCCTATTTTAAGTCAGATTGATGGTCAGTTTGTAAAACATTTGCTGCCAAGGGTAGCTGCTTACATAAAATAGAAAATGGAGGCTGGTGAAGCAGAGCTTGTGTAACAGGTTTTATAAGATAAAGTTGTTAATGAATTCAATGTAAGTAGTGCACCAAATCCATTTAAATGCTTTCAACAAAACTCTCACTTAGTAAATCAGATCCTGGTTAATCAGTTTTGATTGTCTCTTGGTAACCTGATGAAGGAGCAGCGCTCTGAAGGCTTGAGATTCCAAATAAACCTGTTGCACCATAGCCTGGTGTTGTGTGACTTCCGACCTCGTCCATCCCAAACCAACACTGGCACCTTCATAATCTGAAACATCACATTGAAAAGAATCATTGTGGCTGTTTGTAGATGAGGTCTTGGACTGAGATGGTGTTAGAGGAGACTGCTGAAATTGAATGGGGTGAGGCTCTGGAAGGGACCTGTAGCTGACCTGCATTTTGCAAATATATTCATAATAATGCAAGCAACCTCACCTCAGAGGTGAACAAATTAATTTTCTACAGAATGTGCACCTTAAAGTTTGGTGTCAAACCAGCCCATAGGTCTATTGCAGGTAATTATTTTATGAAGACACGAGAAATTTTTAGACATTTACTTTTATATGGGACATAGATGTCGCTGGCAAGACCAGCATCCCTATTTGCCTTTGAATTGATTAGCATTCTAGGCCAATTCAGAGGGTAGTTAAGAGTCAACTGCAGTACTATGGGTCTGGCATCACATGTAGCCGGACCAGATAAGGTGGCCGATTACCTTAATGAAAGGAAATAAGTGAACCAGATGCATTTTTACAAAAATCAACATATGTCTCTCTTAGCTTTTAATTGCAGACTTTTGAATTAAAATTTTATCACCTGCTATGTTGGGATTTCAACCCATTTCATCAGAACATTAGCCTGAGGTTTTGGATTACTAGTGGAGTGTTATTTCCAACATGCCACCATTGCCTAGAATATGGGCATTAGAGGACTGATGGACCAAGTGACAAAGTTGATTTATGAGAGTAAAGCAAACTATTATGATGCTATATCCTTTCTACTACTCTGTCACGTCTGATCTGAGGTCGTAGGCAGAACAAAGGTGGCGAGGCCTCACCAGCGTGCGCACCTCCTCTCATGGGCTGGCATGGCCGGACACCGCCGCCGACGGTTTCGACCATGCTCAGCACCAAGCATTCCTTCCGGAAACCATCCCAGCGGGCGAAGAATCACGGGTGTTACTACTCTTGCACGAAGTTCAATGGTTTAATTATTTCAGATTACTCTCAAGTCCAAACTGTCTATGAGTGTGACCGTGGCTTCCCTGACCTCGATACGTAGGTAGGCCTTTGACATTGTGTCAAGAATAACAAAGAGAAAAACCATTTCTGGTGATTACATTCGTGACTGAAATTAATTATGCCCTCAATGTGATTCTTCGTTCATCTTCAGTAGGCAATAGCATGTCAGGTTTTATTTTAACTTTAAGCTTAAGAGCAAGCTTTTTAAAGATGGACAAGAAAAGGAGTACAAAACTTACATTCATCATTATATTAGCTGTTCAAGAGGAAATAGCAACACAAATTTTTTTCACCATTTTGGAAGCTGAATTAGCTTGGCACAACCTCGGGCAGGACGTTTCAGATGCCGCTGTTTCTTGCCCTGCTACACAAAGAGTTGGCAGAGCATGCAGCTATGGTGCTACCAGCTGCCCTGCAGCCATTTTACTTTGAGTGGGGTGCTAATTGATGGAGGAAGCTCTGTCGGGTGTTAATTGATGGAGGAAGCTCCGTCTCAGAGAGTTGCCAGTTAATCAGATGGGGTGGGAGGAGACATCAGTGCCCAACTGCTGGAACCCAGGGCTCTAGGGGGCACAAAGTACTCATGTTGGGGTCTAAGCTAGGAGCTCCACCAGGGCCTGTGATTTATGTCACCGCCCTGGTGTGAGTAATGCCAGGTTTGAGTGGTCCAAAGATGTGCAGGTTAGCTAAATTGCCCATTGTGTCTAGGGATGTGTAGGTTGGGTGGATTTCCCATGGGAAATGCAGAATTACAGAGATAGGGTAAGGACATGGGTCTGGGTGGGATGGTCCTTGGAAGAATATCTGTGTGGACTCGATGGGCCAAAAGGCCTACTTCCGCACTGTAGGATTTCTGTGGTGGACACTGCTGAGATCACAGGAAGTGTCTGCAGAAGAGGAGCAGATCAAGGCCAGATTTTAGGTAGGTTAGGGCTATGAGCAGGGCAGGTGGCAGGTTGGAGAGGCTGAGGGAGAGTTAACTGAGGCTATGACCTTGTGTGGATGTCTCCAATGGAGACGGGACCCCAGAGAGATTCCTTCCCTTGCCTAACACTAGCTCAGCCTGTAAAAGCTGCTAGCTAGTATCTGGCACGGCTCTCACACTGTCTATGAGAAACAGATAGTAAGAGCTTCTCCAAGTACTTAACGAGGAAAAGAGTGACTAAAGCTATTGTTGGTCTTCCTCGAGAGAAAGTTTGAGGAAGTGATGATTGGAAAACAAAGAAATGGCAGATGCTTCGAACAGGTATTTTTTGAACACCGAAAGAACTGCGAATGCTGGAAATCAGGAACAAACACAGAAGTTGCTGGAAAAGCTCAGCAAGTCTGGCAGCATCTGTGAAGAAAAGATCAGAGTTAATATTTCAGGTCCAGTGACCCTTCTTCAGAACTGATGCTGACTGGGAAAACGTCGGTTTATATGCAGAAAATAGGGAGGGGTGGGGTAGGGTGTAAACGATAGGATAGAGCCCAAAGAGAGAGAAGAACAGTTGGACAGACAAAGGAGTTGATAACGATCAGGCTGGGAGGGTGAATAGTTGTTAATGGGGACTGTTAGTGACTAATAATAGGTAGTATGTAATGGCAGGCTATGTGATAACAAGGCCTAGTGTGTAGAGTAGAGGGCTAGGACATGGGAGAGTTTAGGCCCTAAAATTATTGAACTCGATATTGAGTCTGGAGAGCTGCAGGGTCCCCAAGCGGAAAATGAGGTGTTTGTTGTTCTTCTAGCTTGCATTGAGCTCTGCTGGGAACACTGCAGCAAGCCAGCAACAGAGATATTGACCAGGGAACAGGGTGGTGTGTTAAAGGGACAGGCAACAGGTAGGTCAGGGTCTTTTTTGCAAGCAGAAAGTACATATTCTGCGAAGCGGTCACCCATTCGATACTTCATTTCCCCAGTGTAGAGGACACCACATTGTCAGCAGCGAATGCAGTAGATTAGATTCTGGGAAGTGCAGGTGAAGTGTTGCTTCACCTGGAAGCTATGTTTGGGCTCTTGGTTAATGGGGAGGGAGGAGGTAAATGGGCAGGTGTTACACCTTCGCCAGTTACAGGGGAAGGTGCTGTGCGGCTGTTGGGGGTGAAGGAAGAGTAGACCAGGGTGACCCGGAGGGAACGATCCCGGCAGAAGGTGGACAAGGGAGGGGAGAGGAGATATGTGTCTGGTGGTGGCATCTCGCTGGAGGTGGCGGAAATGGCGTCTGATAATCTTCTGGATGTGGATGCTGGTGGGATGATAGGTAAGGACAAGGGGAACCCTATTGCAGTTGCGGGAGGGAAGAGAAGGGGTGAGCACAGAAGTGCGGGAGATGGGTCGGACCCTGTTGAGGGCCCTATTGACAACAGTGCTGGGGAATCCTCGGTTGAAGAAGGTGGACATTTCAGAGGCTCCCTTGTCGAAGTTGGCCTCAGCTGAACATATATGACGGAGATGGATGTTTTGAAACTGGGGTAAGGCGTCAGAGGAATCATGGATGTATGACGGCAGGGATTGGATCAGGAGAGAGAAGACTGTGTCAAGGTAAGAAGGGATGAGTTCTGTACGGCAGGAGCAGCTGAAACAATGGGTCTGCCCGGACAGTTCTGTTTGTGGATTTTTGGAAGGAGGTAGAAGCAAGTTGTGTGGGGCTGGGGACTATCAGCTTGGAAGTAGTGGAGGGGAGGTCACCGGATGAAGTGAGATCAGTTATTGTAGTAGATACAATGGCCTGATGCATCAGGGTGGGGTCTTGGTCCAGAGGAAGATTGAAGGAGGTATCCGAGAGTTGGCACTCAGCCTCTGCAAGGTAGAGGTCAGTATGCCAGCCGACCACAGCACCACCTTTATCAGCAGGCTTAATAACAAAGTCAGGATTAGATCTAAGAACACGGAGCGCAGTCACTTCAGAGGGAGATAGGATGGATTTGGTGAGGGGGCAGAGAAATTGAGGCGACCAATATCACGTTGTCAGTTCTCAATAAACAGATTGAGTGCAGGTAAAAGGCCAGCGGAGGGGTCCAGGTGGAGGGAGAGTGTTGGAACTGGGCGAAGAGGTCTGGGACGGGGAGAGGACTCTTGTCCAAAGAAATGAACACGGAGGCAAACACGGCAAAGAGGAGTTCGGAGTCATGTTGTGCCCGAAATTCATTAAGGTAGGGACACAGAGGAATAAAGCACAGGCCTTTACTGAGGGGAACGTTCAGCATTGGAGAGCGGAAGGTTAGGAGGGATGGTGAATACCGACAGAAGGTGGGATTGGGAGAGGGGAATGGAGTCAGAGGGAAGTTGGGGGTGGGAAGGAGGAAGGTTCTAGACGGCCGTGGGTGTCTTTGAGTTGTTGTTGCGGGGACGGGGACGGATGATCCCTCACAC